TCTGCGGCGCGATATCTAGCCAGCTCGGTATCTAGCCAGCTCGGTACATTCAGCCGACTCTGTTCATGTCGACATCAGGGGACACCGACGAAGATAGAAATCTGTCCCACCTACTGACTGAATCCACCTTGAGTGGTCGGTCCGTCTCAGCGGAGAGGTTCCCCCCAATATCCTGCGAAGCTCGCGGAGGTGACGCAAGTCTCTTCACAGACCGAAGAATCGATAGAGACTTCGGAGATACGCTGATAGGTTGATTCAAATCGTGGTGATTAAGAATCAGATCGTACAACTTAATAACTGGCGACGAGGCTCCTTGACGAACCCGAAGTTGAGCATTGTGCAACCTGAACGATCTCCGACGCTGCGAAAATGTCGAGCTCATCTAATTCTACCATGCAGAGCGTCCCACCGCGCTCGGGAAAGTATTCTGCTTGGTCGTGCCGCAGCGGACTGCTTCCCCATGGTGCTGCCCGGGGCGGTAAACGAAAATGTTCATTTTTCGGACGCGATCAACCAAAATGGCGCCTCCTGTCCAAAAATTTTTCGCGAGAAATTTCGAAAGTTTTCACGAAAATACCCGTCTCTTGAATGTCGATCTCGAAAATGCGCCCCCCCCGGAAGTGCCGCCCGGGCGGACGCCCCCCCCCCTCCGGAGCACGCTACTGTCGTGCCCACTAGAAAACTATCTCTGCAACGAGAAGATGACTTCCGAAGCTGATGAACGATGCGCGATCCTTGCCTGCACCGGATCAAAAGCTTTCACCCGGCTCGTCGATGAAGTGCCTTCGGACAAGGACTCCGAGAGCTTCACGTTCTCAGAAATCACAGAAGTTCTGACGAAAATCTACGGGCCCGATGAGAACATCTGGACGTCATGGCTGTCGCTGCAGTTCGAGATACGAGACAGAATCCTGGCGAATCCTTTATGAAACTCGGCTGCGAACTTCGGGCCGAAGGTGCGAGTCGATCTGCAAAAAACCACAGATGAACCTCATTGAACCGTTCGTCGGCGGATCGGGCAATCAGAACATCTGATCAGCAACCCTCGCGGAATGCGCGGCTTCGAAGTATCTGGAATAGGTATCCACTAAAACCGAGGAGCTTATCAACGCAAAGATATCTGCGTCGACATCCCGAATCGCGCCGGCTCATGCATCGACCCCAGACGACGAGCTCAAACTTTTTGGAGGAAATCGGAAGAGAGAATTCGTGAGGAAGAAGGAAAACTCACCTCAATCACGGAATCGGATTCTCACAAAGATGTGTTAACGTTGCGGCAACCGAGTCATCTTGCACCGGATTGCAGATCAAAAAATTCGGAGTTTCATTCGCGTGAAGTCACGGGTCGTATGGCTACGATGTGCTGGAGGAGGCGAATCCCGCATTTCCTGGTGAAACTTCCTTTCCATTCCGTCGACGAGAACCAAAAAGCTTCGAGTGAGCTGAATCCATGATCATGGAGGTTTCGGCATCTCCAGAATGGATCGCTCTAAGTTTCTGAATATGTTCCCAGATGAAATTCTGCATCAGAACGATTCCAGACTTCGTATTGCGGCTCAGGCAATTTTAGCCTACAAGCTACGCATCCATCTTGGTCTGCTGTCAAAACCAGTTTCAGAATAAAAGGCTCCCCCCTGCTGATGCGAGCTCGATCATTCAGATGAATCTGATGTAATTGAGGGAATCAATGCGAGGGAGTGGGCACAGCAGGCAGTCATCGCGCTGACATGAGAGGAAAATGAGATATTCCGAATCGAGAGGCGAGAATTGGTGACGAATTCAAGGTCGGATTGAATCTTTCACTCATTCTTGATGAGCTCCGTTGCAAAAACATTCGTCACGCGCTTCATAATATCGGGAACAAGTGCTCAAAATTACTTTCATTTTATTAGATCGCAAATACCTTACCCGAACACTCGTCGGAGCTTGTGGAGATTCGGAGGAATGTGCAATGGCTTAGCTCCAAAACCAGCAAAATGCCGAGAATTCATTACGGGCAAACTGACCTCGAGGGACTCGGGGTGGTCCTCGATGACATCGTGATTTAGGCGACCACAAACGGAGAATACCTGACGAGACTCGACGCAATGTTGAAACGTCTTGATAAGGACAACGCTCGCCTCAGCCTCTCCGACTTCAAATTTTCAGAAGAAAAGAACGAGTTTCCGGTTGAGGCAAATTCATGAATGGGACGATAGGACCTCTAACTTCAACTCATCATTTAGCGAAAGCGTTTCACGCATTAGATACAGTTTTAGCCATCGTTTGCGCCGCATCTTGCGAATCTCGCTGGCCCGCCATACGAAGCATTTGAGGAACACGAAACGTATAAATTCCTTGTGTCCCGGGAGATGAATCAGGCATTCGAGAACGTGAAATCTGAGATAACGCTCGCTTCGAGTACTAGTGCCGTTCGATCCGACAACACCGCGCTTGCTGGCGACGCTACGAACACGTCATCGTATGGCATGTCTGCCGTCCTCCAGCACCGTTTGGATGATCCCTCCGAGCAACATATTGCGTACTATTCAAGGACGCTCTCCGGTACAGAGAGGCCCGGTACGCCATGCAAGGTATCAGCCGTACTTCCGCTACTTGTTCGGCTGGAGAGGTTACGGAATCCCGGTTTTCTTGAACTTCGGAACGATGGTCACGTTGATCGAGTGCCAGTTGGGGATGCCGTCGGGTATACGGTCGAATCGTTCGGAACACAACCCGAGGGCAGGGTCGACATTGACACCGGCTGACTCAAACCCGAGGGCAGTGTCGAGCAGGTTACTCAATATTTCACGTGCACCTTGCACCAAAGACTGGAGTTCCCGTAGGCCGATCAGATCAGACCGGACCAATGCAGGGATCCCCACGAAGCGATTAAACAGAGGGGTCGAGGTTGATTCAAGTCGTCAGGTCGACTCAAATCGTGGCGCATGAACCGTCTGAAGAAACCCACGCCGAACATGCAAATCTGTCTTGAGACTCACGACACGCGCTCACATCTTTTGGTCTTCCAAGTCCATTCGGACGATTCATAGTCCCTTAATGATTCATTTCTGAAACATTGACACCGGCTGAATCATCGAGAACTGTGTCACCGGGTGTCTTTCGCGAAGAGCTTTCCAGACCGCGACTCTCTGTTCGATATTTTTGATCAGATATGTAGACCACAAATCCGCTTACCCTGAATCTCGATTCAGTTATCTGAGATGCGTCTCCGCCCGTCATTCTAGATGATCAGCGATTAAGAGAAACTCGATATCCGTATCCGCTCTTCGGATGAAACGCGTCAATCTCTCTGAACCCGACAATCCGATGTCGAGCCATTAGGTGTTCATCAGCATTCCCGATATCCTGTGAAATATTCTGTCGGTGCGGGATTTTCGAATCATCTCCACTATTGCGTAAGACTTCCCAATATCAGGATTGCTTTCAAGTCTGAGTGCCCGACAAAAGACCACGTTTCAACGAACGGAGGCCTATGGATGGACGGGGTACTCTCAATTTTCCCGGTTGATTCCTTCGTATGAGTCCGGGGTATTGGAAGGATGTCCCAACACGGAGAGGCATGCGGGGCGACCCAGGATAGAGCGATTCGTGTGGATACGGAGAGCACCCATCAGGTCATAGAGGAATGGAGAAAACCTCCAAGATACTCCCCTCAAGCTTTCGAAGTTCTCCTCCTTTCAAGCGGAGGGCATTTTTCGCGTCTTTCACGGAACTAGCTCGCTTGTGGGCGCGGATATCATCGCGATCAACAAAAATTTCATCAATCATCCTGAACTTGAGAACGCTATCCGCTACGAGGGGGATCGGTTTCCACTCTTCTCTCATGCTTCTCGGGCAAGATAAGAAGACGACTCCTAAGGAACCTCTGTACTTGATGCCTTCAGACGCCCACGATGTGCACATATATCTCGGACCGATGCAGCGAACGATTTCTCTTGCCTATGGGTGAGGAGAAGCTGATGCGGAATCCGATGAAACGGCTCCGGCAGCAAATGCGGAGCGGAATGAAATTTAGTTCTCCTCTACAAATCGAACTCGATTTCAGAGTACCGGAGCGAGTCGAGAAAGCACATAGAGCTCCAAATTCCAGCTCCGTAGGACTTCCGCCACGCGGAGGTGACTCTGGATCAAGGAAATTCCAGAAAGTGACCGATGCATCAACTTGAACTGGGATATAATGTGAAATGCGGAGAAAAGTTTGAAGGCCGATCTAGGGAGATTCAGCACGATAAGTGGGTCTTCTATCATGCCCGTCCATATCAGGACACCAAGAATTCGCCGAGTATCTGCGGCGGAGAAAGACTTTGGCTCTGTTCTCAATTATTATTTTTCAAGGGAATGGTCACTCGGTCTGACTCCATATGACTTCGTAGAGTAGAGCCTAGAGCCTCCTCAGTCCTGCGGATACAGCGTTGTACACCATTCGACCCGGCGGTCCTGTTTCGGCGGATGCGTTTCGATGAGCTTGAGTAAAACCGCGAGGGGCCAAGCTGACGCGGCCGTCATCGGAATGAACTCGGAGAGCGTCTCCGCCTCAATTCACGAATTCCCATAGTCAGCAACGCAGGAGCGTTCGCAAGAGCAGCCACGTGCGAGTGGATTCGCAACACCCGCTCCCATCGTGGCGGGAGTCATTGACGGGCTTTCGGCGCGTGTTTCCGCTACGAAAACATTCAATCCCGTTCAGCCGTCGGCGAGCAGTTCTGCCATTCCTTGCCAGGATCGACTCTCGTCCTTAAAACATCCTTAACGGCGTCTCAGAGACCGAGGCGGAACACGTGATCAGTCGCAGATCATTGTCACGACTTTGTCGCTCCCATAGCCCATAGCCATAGTAATTTATATTGCGCGCGGTATTCAGCAGCGCCACGCATCCGATTCGGAGAGCGTTATCCGCGGAATTCACTCCCCGAAATCGATAGGGAGAATACAATCGCTCGCAAATTCTGTCGGAAATCTCAGTGCATCGAATCTGTTCATCGAACCCATCGCGGGAAGCCTTATTCCTCTCTCTCGCTGCGACCCGGACCGCTGCCGCCAACGCCCTCGCGGCTTCTGGTGAATCCGCCACTCCGAGTGTTGAAGCTCGTCCGACGTCACTCTGCACTCGCTCAAACCCGCTCGACCCTCGTGGCGAGTTCGAGTCGAGCAGCCGCCACAGCACGAGCACAGCTAGCCCGCCGCTCTGATCAGCAGCAGTAGCGTCAAGTCTTGGAGTCCCTCTGCTCTCTCTGTGAGTATCCGAAATTGCAGAACCTGAAGCATAGGCCATAGGAAGCGGATGCGGGAAGGTCTCAATGGTGTTCGAATCGTGAAGAGCCTTTACATTTCAGACACTCCCCTCCGTGACTTCAGGCCGAGAAAATGCCGCACATCGACAACGACGTGAAGCTGGACTTCCAGGATGTCCTCATACGACCGAAACGAAGCGAGCTCAGTTCCAGAGCTCAGGTGGACGTTTCGCGAACGTTCAAGTTTCGCAACTCGAAACGAGAGGTGACCGGGATCCCGATCATAGCCGCCAATATGGACACGGTAGGGACTTTCGAAATGGCCGTGGAACTACGAAAACACGCGCTGTTCACGGCCGTGCACAAGCATTACACTATCGAACAGTGGTTGGAGTTCGCGAAGAAAAATCCTGAAACCGTGAAGCACGTGGCCGTGTCGAGCGGTTCGAGTGACGCGGATTTCGATAAACTCCGGGACATCCTCGGTAGCATTCCGGACATCGGAATGATTTGTCTAGACGTCGCCAACGGATACAGCGGTCCGTTCGCTCGTTTCGTCCGCCGAGTCCGGGAAGAGTATCCGGCACACGTGATCTTGGCTGGCAATGTTGTGACCGGAGAAATGGTTGACGAACTCATTCGCTGCGGAGCGGACATTGTTAAGGTTGGAATCGGACCGGGCTCCGTGTGTACGACTCGCAAGAAGACCGGAGTCGGATATCCCCAGCTGAGCGCGGTCCTAGAATGCGCCGATGCTGCCCACGGTCTCGGCGGCCATATCGTTTCCGATGGCGGCTGCACATGTCCGGGTGATGTGGCGAAGGCTTTTGGCGCCGGGGCCGACTTTGTCATGCTTGGCGGAATGCTGGCCGGGCACGAAGAGAGCGCGGGGGATCTCATCGAGAAGAATGGGAAAAAATTCAAATTGTTCTACGGCATGTCCTCGGCCACGGCCATGGCCAAGTACCACGGGGGTGTTGCCGAGTATCGGGCGTCAGAGGGGAAAACCGTCGAGATGCCGTATAAGGGTGCGGTGGAGCACACGATCCGTGATGTGCTCGGAGGTATCCGAAGCACCTGCACGTATGTCGGAGCTGCTACCATAAAGGAGCTCCCTAGACGTACGACGTTCATCCGAGTGAGCCGTCAGCTGAACGAAATTTTCAGGGGCCAGGAAGTGTGAATTGATTCCTCCGGGACTCCCAGTGTGTTGAAATCGATTGAGAATTTTATATTATGAAGAAGGAATAAATCTTATCATTGTTTCTGCGACACGACTGAGGGAAATTATATTCATTGTGCATGCGAGGTAGATGCGGTCTTCCGCTCTTCCTTCGAGATTCTCGAATGGTTGAGAATCCTTCGATTCCTGTCATCAAGACGCTCCATTAGACCCAACGATCGATTTTGAATGGCTCTCGGGGGGCACCAAAACTGGTATCGTGGATTCTGAGCGGTAGATATTGCAAGAATGGTCATGACTAGTTGAGCGAGAAAACGCCTGGCTTCGAGATCGAGGAGCCTCTTTTTTGAAAGACTCCGAGGCATAGATGAATCCTCAGTATGTATACAAGTTTGAATTCTACCTCGGAAATTCCAGATCCAGGTTGCTTGAGGTAAGCCAAGCGAAGACCATGCCGTACAAGATGCGAGAAAATATTGCTCTCTGGATGACTGAAGGGTATCATTCATTCACTCTCCGACATGTGTATACACTGCCGGCGGAAAGTCAGGGAAAAACACGATTTCGATCGAGAAACCAAATGGAACCTTCCTCATGAGCATCTAGGGGTGCAGTCATGGAGACTATCATCTCTCCGAGTGAGAGAGATATCCCCGCGCAGCCAACTTCAATGGCATCTGTTTGTTGCTTGGTGGTGAGAGATGATTCCGAAAGTCGGATACGGGCGATCGTGGAACTTTGTTTCTACGCTTCGTTGAAACTCGGGAACTCCAGGCACTCCGCACGTCGCCTAATCGATATCAACGATGCTACTTGAGAGTGCTACCAGGGTTCATGTACGGTCTCAGGCCCCTCTCAAACACACCGATCATCCTATTTGGTCGAATGATAATTCTCGCAGTGTACTCCACGCTTGTGGGAGATTGAGATCTTGTCGCTGAAGATCTCGACTCGAATTGTTTCGATCGGATCAGATATCATTCATCGGAGCGATAGATTGTGCACCGACGACGCTTGACTCGTCTGCTACCACCGGGCATGCCACGGCAGCTGGAGCGACGCCAGGCAATTCGATTGAGTCTGCAAGAGCCATTGGTATATATGATACTGTCTCGCTCGTTGAGGCGCTTTAACTGAGACCATCACCGATGGGATTACACACGGTGACGGCAGGCCTCGCGGAGCTCCTGGGAACGGAACTTGAGTATCTTCGCCGGCCAAGTCGGTGAGCCGGGAAGTCGAGGTGGAGAGCTCACTGAGACGATCAATGACTCGCTAAACGACATCAAGACCTTCGACCCTCAGGAGTTTGATTATCGCTGGTTCCCGAGTAGAGATCGGAGGGACTCCCCGTTGTTCCTCCCGGAAGGTCGATCGGCCCTCTCGACGTTGATCCTCGGCGTAGAGATCCGCAAACATTCCCAACACGGCCTGCCTCAAAGCCTGCTGTGTGTCTCATCTAATTCCGACCAAAATTTTTCTTCCCAAGAGGGACCGAATACCGTGAATATTCTCATTTGAGAGCAGTCTTGAACATACGGGCCCCCGCCAATGAGCGGGCACCACCACAGGCGGAAATCAGTAGTCCACATGCGAGGAGTGGAAAAAGTCCCTCGAGTAAGGACGTCCTCAGGCTTGCCGTCCTGGTAACTCCATCGGTCAGCACTGGGATTCGAAGCGGATATCTGTACATTAAATGTGGGGGGCGGGCGTAAGGCCAGAAAGAAGTGGAGGCAGCCCTGGACAGAACAATGGATCGCGATCCTGATCTGCAGCTTGAAAAATCAGCCGACTCGTTTAGTGTCGACACCACAGGAGACTGGAAAATATCTGTAGGGATCTGTCCCGTTCGCTGACCGGATTGACCTTGTCTGTCTTGGCTGATCGGCCCGCATTAGCGGGAGGATTCCCCCAATACACACTTGGAGGTGATTCGAATCAACTAATGGAACACGAAAGCGATAGAGATTCCATCTGACAAAGTCATTCCTCAAAGATTCGTCTCTGTCTAGAACATTGCAGGTGGTTTCTCATCGAGATCTGTGTCCCACAGGATGTCGCGCGAACAGATTCCCAGGTCAAGATCACCGTGTCAATATTTTTGGTTTGACGGTCACGACGTCGCGACTCCGATTATCTCGAATCTCGGTCAAGTTCCCTCGGAGGAGCCTGAGAGCGTCAGTCTCGAATGTCGAGAGAGTGACGACGTCTCTCTCCGTTCCTCGGACGGGAGCAGTCAATCCGTACCCACTCAAGAATCCCGCGCTGACCCGTTGGAAATTAATCGGCGTTCCGAATTCCGTCAGAGACTCTCCAGATTCGGGATCTTTGGATACTTGCCTGAATTATCTTTTCCAATATAGGAATGAGCACGTGATGATGAATGAAAGCTTTCTAAGGAATCGTCCATGAGAAGGACAGAACAGTCCCGATTTCTTCTGCTTACCTTGGGTCGACGTCATGGAATGACTCCGAAAATTTTTCGGAAGGCAAGAGCATATCTGGGGCGACCCGAGACCGGGCGATTTTCTGGGATGAAGAAAACCTTCAAGTTATCGACGAATTAGGCAAACATCCGAGATGTTCCTCCAAGCCTTCGATAGCTCTCGTCAGATTCTCAGTTCCCCTGAAACCGCCTATTTTCGAAATTTCAAGCCGATGGCTTCTTTTATGAAACTACCCCGAAGAACGCCGACTGCGGACGCGAATTCCATTGGACTCCGGGAACGCTATTCGCTAAGAGCGGGATCGACTCCCGGTTGAATACTCTGCGCACGAGACAAGAAGGCCTCTGACGAACGTTCCTCTATGATATGATGCCTTCCAAGACCCATGAAAGTATTAATTATTAATTATAACTAGCATCAACATTGTCTTCCTAAAGACGAGGAGCAATACTATGATGCTAATTGACAGTGTGGGTTCCGTGATTCTCTGGCTCGGTTCTATCGAAACGCACCACGCTTTCCCCGGAACTGAAAGCGATTCCCATCGATACCAAATGCCAGAAGACCAATGCTATCCGACACTGATAAATTGATCAAGAAGCGTATTGAAAGCTGAAAGTCATCACAGAATATCCTGGATATCTTCCCTGATTGATATCAAGGATGCTCTTCAAGAGTGCTACGGGGGTTCGATGGGGGTCTCAGGTCCTCGCGGATTTTAAATCGAAACTCTCTTCGTTCCAAAGGGTACACTTTTTATATGGACATAACTTATTGTCCACTCCTGTGAGCCTAGGATTGTGCAACTACGCCGGTGGGCTCGTCCACCAGGACTGCCGCTGCAGCTTGAGCGGCGCCCGGCGATTTGCTCGAATTCATTGGAGACATTGGTATATGTGAAACTTTCTCGCTCGGTGGCACGCTAATTCTGGGACTATCGTTGATGGGATCACTCAATGGAACGTCGAGCATTGGAGAGCTGGTGGGGAGTGGAACGGGAGCATCTTCCGATTTATCGCCGGGCACCTTGGTTATCCCGGGAGTCAGAGTCGAGAGCTCACTGGGCTTATCAGTGACTTGCAGAGCGGCATCGGGACCTTCCTCAGTGAGGCTCTCAGCTTGGACGCTGGTTCTGGAGTAGAAATCGGAGGGACCTCTCCTTGTTCTTACCGGCAGACCGTAGTGCATCCTCGTCGTTCCCGCCAAGAGCCCGGAGGAAATTCTTGCTATTACTGCCGGGAGATCGGAGGGAATTCTCGCCGTTTCCGCCGGGAGATCGGAGGGAACACTCTCTGTTCGAGCCGGGAGATCAGAGGTACTTCTCGAAGTTTCTCCCGGCGGATCCGGCGCCTTACCCTCCGGTTCCCGCGACTTCTCGGCGTAGAGATCCGCGAACATTCCCAACACGGCCTCCCTCATATCCTCCTGAATGGCTTCGATTTTGGATTTGGCTCGGATCGTCGCTGTGCTCATCGTGGAAGAAGCCGTTCCCATAGCGTCTTCATCAGTCGTCGCGGGTCTTAAGTCCTCTGACCTCGCAACAGAAAGTTCAGCAAGCCATTGAGGAATTTCCTCCGACGTCGGAGATCTCTTGGACACCGTCGAAGAGGGATACGGATTTTTCTCCACGATACCATGTTGCGCGTCCGGTTGAGTCGGCCTTACCAAATCGGTGCAGGAGGTCGGCTCGAACGAATTTTCCGCTGAGAGTGTCCAGCAGACCTCGTTGTTGAGCTTGCTATCAATGACCGAACATTCGAAGGAAACGTTCCCGCGGAGACGCTTCAGATTCCCCATAGCATACAGCAGGGTTTCGTCTTCTTCGGGGAGATCAAGATGCACGACATCGAAAACCGAAGGATAGTCTTTCTTGATCGTGCTATCGTTGCAGTCAATTAGGGGACAGGCTCGCGCCTGGACCCGATGCTCTTGAAAGTCGAGATATAGCTCGAACTGCATTTCTTTCTTCGTTGCCGTGTAGTTCACTTTCATGATGGTTGATCCATGATTATCCGCAATGTATCTCGGGAGGCTGCAACGGGAGCTCGGATCAAGAGGAAATCCAGAACGAGTGGACGCGGTCTGCCGCATCTCTCGGGACGAGGAAATATTATTCTGGCGCTCACGTTTCCGGATCAACATCGGCCAGTGGAAGGATGAAGGCAGAATTATCCAGTAAAGAAACTCCAGCAGCGTAGAGGAGGTCATTGACGACAGGAATCAAACTTATGACATCGCGACTAGTGTCCTGCGGTGAAGGAGCGAAGGTGAACCAAATCTTTATGTATTTCTTGAATCTTTTCGCATCGAGCTGCATCATAGGTTTCATGTCGGCGTAGAAGACAAACACATTGTTCGCAGGCGATGATGGAGCTTTCGTAATTAAATGTCCGCACCAATCGTTTCTCTTCATGAATTTGAACAGCATACGATGCTTCACAAAAGTTTCGTTCTTCAGTGCGACCACGTTCACGACGAATGCTGTTACAACAATGAGGAGCACCGAGTTGAACAAAATGCAGTAAGCGTGCTGTTCTGACTTATTCCGGCGATCCGAAACGGAGAGATCGATTCCAGCTGGTTCGTAATTCTCGTTCGGACAGATGAACGCCTCTTTCGGCATCCTCGACAAGCGGGG